CACAAAAAAGTAAGTTCTTCCCTTCTTTCGTGTTTTTCCCCTAAGATTCCCTTCTTTCTTCATTTCTTCTTTTCTTCTCTCTTCTTTTGAGTATGTCTCTCAATGTTCTCCATTGACCCTAAGAGATGGTGACATTCTGGTGAGACAGTAGTATTCTCCTCCTTTCAGAGTATAATTATTTCATCATATATCTCAAGTTGCTCAAATTTGTTTTTCTTCATATTTCTTGCATTGTGTTTCAAAGATTCTTTTTAGCTATGTTTCTTCTGAATGGGATTCTTGAGAAATCATTGATTCTATTAAAGGTCTAATTTTTTTCTTTATTTGTAGGAAAAGTCCATCTTTATAAAATGAATAATTCTTGAATATAGCCTCCCTATTGTTTTTTTAGCATACATCTCATTTTTGCATTCCCTTTCTTGTATTTGCTACACAATCCTATGTGATTCCAAGAAAAATTCCTTCTTGGTGGTCTGTCAAGTAAAACTACTTATAGTATTTTTTCTTTGACCTGTAGTTTGTCAATCATTTTTGACTATGTCATATTTTAAGTGGGGCAACCAGTAGATTCTCTCTGTTTTTGCTTTATCCTCTGGTTCCAATGGTTCTGGATAATTTTCTTCCATGACTTCTTGAAATATGGTATCCAGGTTTTTTGTTTCATCATGGTTTTCAACAAGGTCAATGAACCTTAAATTCTCTTATCCTTATCCTGTTTCCAGGTCAATTGTTTGTATAGTAGATAACTTCCATTTTTTTTTTTTTTTTGCTCTTTTGACTTCCTCATCTATTGAATTACTGAATTTCCATTTCTGTTTCTTCCAATAAGTTTTTTGATAAGGTTTTTTGTTTGTTTGTTTGTTTTTCCTTCTGTTCTATTTATTCTCCTTTCAAATTTTTTCTCAAAAGCTCTAATTTCACTTCTTATTCCTTTCTTCGTTTCTTTAGTGCACTTTCCATCTATTCTCAGAATCCTTATGGCTGATCTATCTCCTTTTCTGAGCATCTATCAATTATGATGCAGTTATGCTTTTCTTTTAAAGTTTTATACTTCAAAATTTCTCTTTCCAGTCCTTCCTGGCTGCCTCCTTTCCTTCAAGTAAAAAGAGATGGGGTTGAATCTCTGGCACCTTTATTCACCCTCAATGACAGCACTGTTTCAATTGCTCATTTTTCTAAAGGAAATCTGAGATCCAAGTTCAAATTTAAGGGTTCTGCTTATTAGAACCCTTAAGAATTATAGGATCATCCATAAAACTAAGCAATGATTCAGTAACACTTAGGGCTTTAACCTCCTATGTGAGAATTTCAGGGCCCTAGAGCGCAGGGTTCAGGTCCTAGCAGAGGACAATTTTGAAATATAAACCCCTTGAGGACCATCATTATATGCATTTTCTGATTTTAAGTTAATGGCATGCCCACAGATAATGGGAAGAAATTCACTTATAAAAAGAGAATCAGACTTTCAAAATACTATCAGCAGTTGTAGATAGGAAAATAAAAGTTGGTTTTTTAACGTTCTGCCTAAATGGATGGATAAATAAGATGCCCCTCAGCCACTGTGTTTCAAAACTGAGGAGGGGAAAGCTGTCTACCAATCAAGCCTTTCCTCCAATTGTGTTGGGACAGTCCCATCTGCCTGACATGGAGAATAAAGCTGGCTCCCCTAGGGAAGACTGATAAATTTCCACCCCATTAAACAGTTTCTGATATTCCCTGCCTGCCCTGCCACACCATCACATTTGTGTAGGCTTCCTACCTGTCAAAGCCCTTCTTCCCCTCAAGAAACCTCATTCTACACATCTCATACTCTCTCATCTCATATCTCCACAGCATCGATAATGATCTCACTTCCTCCACAGAGTTTAAGGAAAAGATTATAGAGGGATAGAAATTTTTTTTGAAAAAGAGAGGAGACAGTCCCTTCCCTCTCGGAGCTTACCTTCTTGCTAGGGGGATGCAACATGTCCACAGGATATACACAAAATAGATTTTTTTTTGACAGTTCATTGGGAGAGGGAAGGGACTAAGAGTGGGGAAATCAGAGAAGGCTTCTTGAAGGAGGAGGCATTTGTGCTGAGACTTGAAGAGAACTAGAGATTCCAGAAGGCAGAGATGAGGAAGGAGACGATTCCAGGCACAGGGGAATCAACTCTGCAAAGGCTTGGAGCTATGGAGAACAGCGAGTAGGACAGACTGGATGAAACAAAGAGCAAGGGAAGGATAACAATATGCAATTGGTTTGGAAAGGTAGGCTAGAAATAGTGAGGAGGGTCTTAAATGCTTTTTAAAATGTTTTATTTTAAAGGTAACGGGGACCTAGTAGACTCTGGGCTTTTTCCATTTTTTTTTTCTTTTTCCTTTCAGTCCTAGTGGATCTGTCTGCATCAAGTCTTTCTCTACTCCAATCCATCCTTCATTCACCCACCAATGTGATTTTCTGAAAATATAGGCCAGTCATGTCTAGCACATGAGTGTGTGCGTGTACAGACACACACACACACCCCTCAATAAATTCCAATGACTTCCTAATGCCTCCAGCAGCAAATATGAAATGCTCTTCTTGACATTCAAAGTCTTTCATAACACCTTCCCCTCCCACACCCCAACCCCATAGTCTTCTTACACCTTAGGCCATGACACATATTCTTCAATCCAGGGACCCGGGCCTCCTAGCTATTCCATGAACAAGATGCACCATCTCTCAGCTCTGGCACTTTCTTTGGCTGTCTCCCATGCCTATAACGCTCTCTCTTCTTCCCCAACTGCTAACCTCCCTGGTTTCCTTTAAATCCCAACTAAAATTTCTCTTTGTACAGGAAGCTTTCCCTAACGTTTCTTAATTCTAGTGCCTTCCTTGTATTCATTATTTCCTATTCATTCTGTATGTAGCTTGCTTTGTATATATTTGTTTGCATGTTGTCTCCCCCAATAGATTGTAAGCTAGTTGAGGGCAGAAACTGTCTTTTGCCCCTTTTTTTATACTCAGGACTTAGTACACTGCTCGGCACATGGTAGGTGCTTAATAAATGTTAACTGATTGGTTGATTTCTCTGGAGTCCTGAATAGGGAGGAAGCTGACCTATAGAAGTGTCTGATCTACCGGCCCTTCCCATTCCTCCCTATTCCCCCCAGTCTTGAATGGGTAGAAGTTCAGCTGGGGCAAAGGTGACCTCTGATCCCTGGACAGAGATCATGATCCTTTGTTGTGGGAGGATTTTGTTTGTTTGTTTGTTTGTTTGTTTGTTTGTTTTTTCCCCCAGGGGAGAGGCTGGGAAGTTTGGGATCAGGATAAGAATTACTTTACTGAAGTTTCCTTTCATTGTTGTTGCTGTTCGGTTGTTTCAATAGTGTCAGACTCTTCATGACCCCATGGGGGTTTTCTTGGCAAATATACTAGAATGATTTGCCATTTCCTTCTCTAGTTTAGTTTACAGATGAGGAAACTGAGGCAAATAGGGTAAAGTGACTTGCCCAGGGTCACATAGCTAATAAGTGTCTGAGGTCAAATTTGCACTCATGTCTTACCTTTCTCTAGGCCTGGCATTCCATCCACTGTACCACCTAGTTGTCCTTTCATTAATTTCCTTTATTAGTTGATCTTTCTTTCCTTTTGGGAAATTTCTGCTTGTTCTTGAGATAGTTTTAGAGGGAGTTATGTTTTTGTGGAGAATTTTGTTGCAGCCAGCATCCCTACTTCCTCAAGGGTAGCTAGACCTATCCAGTTGGTCCTCAATTCACTCTGATGAGGCATCAGGCTACATTATGTGACTAAGGCAAATGTGCCAGAAACAAAGAGCTTCGAGCAATCACCATGGGTTTCATATGCATATAGAAATTTGAGTTATTGTTCATCTATCTTCCTCGATTTATGGTTTTCTGGTTAAATATTGCTTAAAAATGCTCAAGAGGATGCAGTGTCTAAGACTCTGGAGCCCTGAATTAGGAAAAGTTTCCTTTTGTTTATAGCCAAGCAAAGCAGAGTCAGCACTAATGATGCTTGCCTGCTATTACCTCACCCATGTAACTGAACTATGTTCTAAAGATCAAAATCCTGTGAGCAATTTTAATATATCCTGAAGGAAAGAACATTAGGGGGAATTTAATAAGACACTTCAAACCCTTGAGGGTTTCATATATAGGCAATGATGAACATCAATCCTCCTACTATTATGAGAACTGAAAAAGAGAAAGTGAGTTTGAATTGCAGAAGCCAAATGTAATTTAAGAGTGTGTGGAAACTGATAACTATTGTAAATAGGTTGCTAAAAGAAGTCATGGAATCTTTATTTCAAGAGACCTTAGGTATAATGCTACCTGGAAATAGAGGGATAGACCATGTGACCTCTAAAGGGATTCCTCTGACCCAGAAGCAAGGCCTCTTTCATCCTCAAATTGTGGCTTTTGTCTACATAGTGAAAAGAGTAGGAAACGGTCCTTTAAAAAAATTATGCATTTTTATAACATTTGATCAGTTTTCACCACCACCTCACAAGCATTTTAATTATGTGTTTCTTATGCTATAGGTGTTACCCCCATTTTACTGATGAAGAGGTTGAAGAAAAGAAATGTTAAGTGGCCTGTCCTTTATTTTTGCCCAGAGAGACTGATAGAATTAGAATGCATAGGTCACATTTCTGACCAAGAGATCAATCCTACTGTTGTACAGCAGAAGACCTGAGTTGACAGCAAAGTTATGGTGGGGAGACTGCTGTATTCAGAGTCAAAAGACCTGGGTTCAAGTTCCTTTTAGCTCCGAATCTTACAAGTTTTGCTGACAGTGTTAGGAAACTTACATCTAGAAATGAAAGGAGCTCGGGTTAAGGAGATTCTGAAGTGGTATGGACATTATTTTCCTTTTTATTAATGACAGAAAAGCTTGTCTAAAGTTGGAACGAAGGTCCTTGAGAGAAAGAACATCCCTTTGACAGTGCAAAACAACAAGGTACTTAATTTGGAATCCTTCTTAAACTGAACCATTGTTCTCATTCTACTTATAGACAGCACAGCTGAAGAAGCTGGGCTCCTGATTGGAGATATTGTGCTGGCTGTCAACGGCACTGATGTCACCAGTGTTGCACATTCAGAAGCTGTGAATCTTGCAAGAAAAGGTAAGATGAACTTATTGCAAAGAACAGATTCAGCCCAGAGTGGTAGAGAGCTATGTTAGACCTGAGATTTTGTCACTGTTGGGATGAAGGTTTAGGCTGTGGGGTTGGTGAGGAGATCACATTGTTGGGATAAAAATACATTTCTTTCCTGAGGTCTAAATGTTTTGTTATGAAAACTGTTGTGCATATGAATTAAATAAGATTTCTCTTTCATCTTCTTTGAAGATCAAGGTTCGGCTACCAAAATGATGGCAGGAAATTTGTATAAAGGTAATAATATACAATTCAGAACACTTCCTAAACTCTTAGCCAGCACATGAAATTGTCTGTCAAAGAATGTTGTTCATCAGTTCTTAGAACTGAGAGCTTCAGTGCCATAATGTGTAATAAGAAAATAAATCAATAAAACATACAGTTACAAAACTACAGCTCTTTCAGATTCTCCTTATCCTACATGAAGATTGACCCTAAAGTACTTTGACCCAGATGAAACCACCAGAGAATAATACATATTGCATCCACATCCTCTGTGGAAGGTGGTTAATTCCTCCTGCCAAGTCTGCCAAATTTTGTTACTACTCTTACTAGCACCAAATTACAATCTGTGCTACTTCTCTTCGCTTCCAAAATGCATACATCATTACTTCAATGGATTTGTGATTTCAGTGATGTCAATTCATCTTTCCAGTGATACAACCCATCCATTCCTGTTGAATCTGTACAACTCTTGTTCAGGTCCACTTAATATGCTATAGGCCTTCCTTCCTAGTTCTTAATTAAAAAAAAAAAAAAACAACTTACTGTGGGAAATGAGAACACAATAGTGGCTCTAGAACAGGGAATCCAACCTTTTTCTGGTGAAACTCCTGTAAGATATGGGATGACAGCCCCGGTAGAGAAGTGTTGGAAGGAATATTGAGAAGGAAATCCTATTGGTTAATCATGTGGAAGGAAGAGGAGGTGTGTCAGCCACCTCCAACTATACTTGCCAGCCCTCTTTGGTTCATAGGTATTAGATATTAGGGAAAAGGGAAAGAAACAAGCATTTGTTATGCACCAATGGATCTTGGACAATTCAACACTCTGTACACAGATAAGTGATTTTGGAATGACTGCAATATCAATAATAAGTCATTTCCTTTCATTAAAATATCATCAATTCCATTTTTATTACTTTATTTGATCCTTGCCATGTCTTTCTCCTATCTTTCTCTCTTTTTTAAAGAAAATATTCATGATACCTCTGAAAGATGCCTTTGTACAGGCTGTTTCTTATGAATGGACCATATTCCCTCCTGTCTCGGTTTCATACAAATCTTAGGTTATTTCAGTCCTTAGTTCAAATACCACCTTCTACATCAAGCCTTTCCTTATCCCTCTAGCTGTTGGTCTTCATCCTCAAATTACTTTATTTTCCATGTATCTGTTTTGCAAATATTTCATACCTTCTTATTTGTTCACAGAAAAGAGGAAGGGGAAGAAGAAGAAAAGTGAATAAATATTCATACAGCATTTATTAAATGCCTACTGTGTGCTAGGCACTATGCTATGTGTTTTACAAATGTCTCATTTGGTCTCTCATTAGGGTCACATAAGGGATATTTGTAATATCTGTCCACAATATATTTACTGTTGGGTGAGTTCCAGAAGTTTTCCACCTAACTTCATATCTTAATTTGAACAACAAACATTAATTATTTCCTTAGCTCTTCCTGGGTAGATAGTTAAGATGGACTCTTTTGAGAGGAAGCTAAATGTTATTTGATCATATCCTATCATTATCCCCACTTATAGTTAAGGAAACTGAGGCAAACAGATCAAGAGACTTGCCCTACTAGTGTCTGAGGCCAGATTTGAACTTAAGTCTTCTGAGCTCCAGGCCCAGTGTTCTATATATTGTACTACCATCCTCCTCTAAATGGTTTCCCATAATGGAATATAAACTCTTTGAGGGCAAGGAAAATTTCATTTTTGTTTTGATATCTTAAGTGCACCTAGCACAAGGCCCAGCACATTTTAATGCTTGCTGATTGATTGATGATGCATTTGTTTAGTCAGCAATTGTTCATTCTCTCATTTCATATGTCTAGACCACATTTTCCAGCATATTTTTTTTGCTATCCTCCTCCATATCTAGTTTTATATTGCAGTCACTGAATATCAAAGTTTATTGATTTAAATTGGTAGATTTTATTTAATGCTTCACAGAATTTATCTACCTCCTCATTTTCAATAATAGCTGGTGAATAAGCTGAAGTTATTTTCATGTTGATATTTTTGTAAACCATGATATTTACTATCATACATTTAATGGAAAGGTATAGAAAATATAAGATACCATCATGCTTATTATTTGTTAATAGTATTTTTAAAAATTTGATTTGGTCAAGAGAAAGGCTTCTTCCCACACATACGTCAAAAATCATACAAGTTTCCTTGAAAGATATAAAACTATAGCCTTTGTTTCATGATCTTCTGATTATTAATATCAATTGAGTTAAAAAAAAACAGAGATATATGTTCCCTAAAGGTATTCCTCAATGCCATGGAGAAAATCCAGGGCAGAGTGCAAGTTGAAAAGGGATTCTTTATAGGTAGTGAGTTCCTCCAAATACTCTTCTTTGTGAATGACATTTTGCTAATTGCATCAAATCTTGGAACATTTCAAAGCTTCCTAAATGACATTCACAATCAAAAGAGTTCATCTTAACTATCTACCCAGGAAGAGCTAAGGAGATGATTAATGTTTGTTGTCCAAATTAAGATATGAAGTTAAGTGGACAACATCTAGAGCTCATCCAACAGTAAATATATCATGGACAGACATTAAAAATATCCATTCTGTGACCCTAAACTTCTCCTGGAAATAAAGGCCCATATAAAAATAATTCTAATATTTTTTCTGGTGATATTCAATTTATCTCAAATCAACAAAAATAAAAATTCACATATTAGGTGCTAACTTTGTACCAGGCACTATATTAAGGACTGAGAATACAAAGTCAAAAATGTTGCATGCTGTGAATTATGGAACATGATAGTTTCAGAAAAAATTAAAGCTGAAGATAATTCAGAATTAAGGTAGAGAGAGGTAAGGTGAGAGTAAGCAGGTTGAAATACATTACACAAAAAAGAGTTATTCAGAAAATACAAAAGATATAGCCCAAAAGTATAGAATAGAAAAAGAAGAGGGACTGGCCATGGGACAAGAGTGAAAGGTAACCAACAGGTAGCTTGTATGTTCCTTTTTTATTGTGTAATGTCAAAAGAATTGAGAAAAATTCCCCACCACATTGGATTGAATTCTTCTGTGAAGGAATTTTGAGAAAACATTGTTAAAAGTAATAAGATGGAAAGGCATGGATAGATATTGATCTGCTTCATTAGGGGGAATGCCCACATCAATGAGATCACAAATGCATTGGAGTATGCAAGAGTGTTTTTATAAATGCTTATAATGAGTACTGCAATACAAAATAATCAGATTTCTCATGAAATAATGTTTCTTACTGCTTCTGGATACACAAGAAAATCAAGTCTGCCAACTCTTATATTTGCCCTTCCAAAAGCCATCCTTCCATTTATCTGCAACTTCCTTTTGTAATCTGGTTTCACATTATAGTAAATAATTTAAAGATGAAATATTCAATTCTTCCAGTAATATGTCCACTCATTGGTACTTGAACAAGAATCTGACATTTAGATTACCAGCAGCTAAACTGACCTTTACATATGATTGAAAACTGTGATTCTTACCACCCTCTCCTCACTTTTTCAGCATCATTAAAGAAATGAAAGGGAGCCACTCATGACTAAGGGTCATTTTGTATTTATCTGTTTCATAGGTTGATAAGTTCATATTATTTCTGCAAGTTAAGAGAATTTTTCTCTTAAAGTGAACAGAAGTATAAATCAGGATCACTTATCTATTTTAATTCCTCCATTGGGTGGCAAATGCTTCTCCAATTGAGTGTGTAGAACCACCTCTGGGTTCATTTCCCCAACCCACACTAATGATGGCAGGTTGGTTCTTCAGAGGAGTAGATTGTACTTGTACTACTCTGAAGGTTCTAGGAGTAATCCTGTGAGTAGCTTTTCTCCTTTCACTGTAGCTCGTGAGCTACCACCAGTATGTTTTTCTTTAATAATCAGCCAAGTGATTGAATCCATTCTTTATCAGAGGCATTTGAATTTAGAAAGGCCAATGTCTCCCATTTCATCTTGGGCCATCACCTTATGTCTTGTCACTGGTCTTTGATGACTCTGGAAGAGATAATAAGAACTTTTTTCGCAGCTCTGCCCCACTCATATCCAATTCACATGCAAGTCAAGACATCACCCTCGTGATGTCATCGGTCCTCTTCAAGAATAAAGGAGCAACAACAACAACAATAACAATATCAGAGGCATTTACTCAAGTAGAATAGAAAGAATAGTAGTTATAATGCAATTCCCTCCAAAACTTGAGGTGTGCTCTCCTATGCACAGATTCCATTTGGGGAAGAGTGGACACCAGCTTATAGTTCAATGGTTGTGAGTCATATAGGTAGGAAACACATATGGTCAAGCCAGCTCACAACTCCATAGCTGCAAAGTCTTGACATCCTTTCTTTCACTAGAAGATCCTCATGAAGTTCACTTCAATGACGCATTCCAGAATCAGGTACCGCTCCTTCCTTGGTATTGTCTCTCAGTTATAGTTGGTCAAATAGGTCAAGCATCTGCACAGCTATCTCCTCAGTGGACTCAGCTGCTGCTGAGCTGAGCAAATAGTGTGTCCAATGGGATGCTGATGCCTAGAAATAGAAATGGTCCTTGCAGGTTTCTCTGAACTCTTCACAGGGTGCAACATCTCTATTGGACAATCAGTCAGCTTAACTCTCTAGACTCATTTTTAGATGGGCAGCTGGGTGTTCTAGTGCTCTTTTCACATAGGGCAATAAACCTTAATATAGGATTGATAGAAGCCTCCTCTTTGTCCCAAGGTAGGGTCTCAAAAGCCTGGTGTTCTTCAGTGCCATCTGAAGACAAAAGGCAAAGTAACACCTTTTCTATTCTAAGATCTATGCAGGTTTGATGGTCACCAGCTTCTTCTGTTTTTGTGCATGGAGGAGACCATCCCTTTTTCAAAGATAAGACAGGTTACATTTAAGGAGATCCTGTCTTGTTAATGAAAGGACATTTCAATCCTCAATCACTCTATTGATCATTGCCCCCTTTTTATTATTCTAACAGGAACCAGAGATGTGGCATGTGTACATTTTGGGATTAGGGGTGGGGAAGGATATTCATGTTATTTTCTATAATTTCCTGTGCTATGGTGATCAGGGAATTCAATTTCTCCATGTTTCTGTTTAATAATCCTAAAAAGATTTTTTTTTTAGAAATATTAAGAAAGGACTTTGTTACTTAATATTTCTAAAAAAAAAAAATCTCCCCACCTCCACCTCTGAATAGAACTATACTCTGTACAGAATCAATCCAGGGTGATGGGTATTTTTTTTTCAGTTCTGCAAGGACAAAATCACAATAATCTGAATAATTATTTTAACTTATAATACTTTCTCCTTTTTTTCCCTAAGAAGATAATGATCTGAACATTTATTATGACTTCCCAACATAAATCCATTGGAGGTAGGAAACTTGATCTTTTACTTGCTCTTACATTTTCTTACATGGAAATATACCTTATATAAAATTTCCCCAATATTTTTAGCTCCCTGGCTATGCTAATAAAAAAATTAAATGTGAATATCTAGAAAGTAATCAGTGAAAGTACAATCTTCATTTCTATATGAGAAACTAGACATAATTTGGACTTGTTTAGTTATTTGTTTTTTTTTAAGATGGCAAATGCATTAACATGAAAAGTGATATTATTTGACTGATGTCTGTAATGAACATTTCTGCAGAAGTTAATACCCAAGAATTTTCAGTTATAGTACAATTCCTTTACAAAGAGAACTGGTTATTTCACCAGTTTGACTATGCCATTGCTTAAATCATATCCCTCAAAATATGAAAACTACTGTCATTAAAAGCCTATATGGTTAGTTGCTCTTCCTCAATACCACCATTATTAAGAAATTCAACTGTACTTTATAAATAAGTATTTATCAATAATCATACACCTTTATTCATCAATTATTTACCCATTTTTGTTTGTTTCACTATTTTTTTAAATAACCAAAATAGGTCTATTTATAGGGGAAAAAAAGTCATGAAAAGAGATAGGATCCAATGAGGTTTGTTTTACCTGAAAGCATTTTGTGAGAACTTTAGTTAGGGAAAGATTCCTTTCTTTTATGGTATCCTTTACTGAAAGCAAGCAGCCCAAACATCACAGAAGCTCAGAAGGGGACTCTGTACTCTTGTTCTTCAAGACACTGAAAACGCCGAATCTGACACTCAGCCCTCAGGGAGAGTTAAAAATCTTGCACATTGCTTTGGCACCTATGAGGGTGGCAGCGTCTGACAGTGGAGGTGCAACTTTGACACAGTTCAAGATTGGTGGCATAATAAGAAGACAGTGATCCAAGGGAAAAGTGTGAATTAAAAAAAGAAATCATTTTTCTCTCTGCTGCAGCTGTAAATAACATCGCCCACAACTCCTCACTGCCAAACTCTGGGCCAAGGTGTTAGGGATGAAAGGTCCACTTGATAGCTTTTTACTTTTTTTTTCTCTTTTTTAAAGAATGTTACCAAAGATAAGCTGCTTGTTGCTTAATACACTGGTCCTCCAACTTTTTTCATTTTATGGAAGCAAATAACTTCCATGACTCCCCATATGTCTTATAAGAGCCCTTTATCAAAAGAAACTAAAACAAACTCTGTGTTATTCCAAAGAGATAACAATGCTTATATGTTTTCTTCATGAAGTATAGAGACTCGGAGATGGATAAGTATGGAAATTAGGTGATAATTCTATTTATGGGGGTGGGAAATAGAAGTGGTAGGAAAGAGGGGAAGTAGGAAATGGGAGGAGAGGCACAGTGATGAAGTAAAGGAAGAAGCAGTGAGAATTGGGGGAGGAAATGGTCAATCACATTCCCAACACCAAACAGTTCCTGGGAGTGAAGCAGTTGCCACCTCTATACCCCCCCATAATGTCAGCTGTGTCATAACCCTGAATTTGAGAAATTTCCATGTGACACCAGGATGCCTCAATGACATCAGTGGTTTCTAGCTATATCCCAAAGGAAGCTAGTTCATGGCTAGGCTCGGTCTTCAGCTAAATGGAATCAGTATCTTAGGAGCCCACATCTGGATTATGTGAACAAGGAGAAAATGACCTAAAGAGACATCCTTTCTGTGGCAGCATATAAATAAATTGGCAGATATGTCAACTAGGTATATTACTTCAGGACTACAATACTATTGGGACTGAAGTCCAAAGACAAAGATGTTTGTGAGTTGACATTCAATTCTAGGCATCTCTTTTAATTCCTCTGACTGTGTTTTTGACAAGAGCTTAAGGGCAGTTCAATAAATTACAATGTATTTACAAGAATTAGCTTGACACAGAGAGAGTTATTTAATTATGAAGGTGCTTTGCTTCCTGCCAAAGTTAAGTCTGTGTCAGCCTTTCTGGGACAAATCTTTATTTTCAGGGCCACGTAACTCAACTGGGAGAGTTCCCTTGGGTTGGATCTTGTCATTTATATGAGGCATCTCCTGACTGACCCCCATTTCCGCAGACACTTCTAAACAGATCACTAATCTCAATGTCAGACATCACAGCAAAGTCGGTATTGCCAAGGCCAAATGTCCCCTGTCAGGGTCATAGTCTCTCTCACAGAGGAATGACAAATGAAGTCATACCCCATTTGTAGTCCCCAAAGCATTTCAGGGTTGACGTGTGTCTGTGTGACATTTGGAAGATTTTTCCGGGGTAGTCAGGAGTTAAGATTACAATGTCAGCTTTATGTCCACACTGGCAGGCAGCACAGCAGCCTGTGAAATAATGACCTAATGTTAGCATTTGAGATAACAAAGACAGGGATAGCTATAAGCTGCTTGCCTGCCAGAAGCCACAGCCATACTCATCGGGAAGAAAGTGAAATTAGCAGTGAGTGCAGTGCTCAGAGGGGCAGGCCTGTGGGGACCAGGGGGAGCTGGGTCACATACAACCAGCTCTCAGTTAGATAAGCAGCAAGGGTAGAGGTTATACCCTCTGAACCAAGTCCTTGTTATATGTTCTGTCTTTTTTTGGTTGCATGAGACTATTGATTGATTTTTTTTTTAACTAAAAATGTAATTGGATGAGAGAGAAAATTTCCTTTTCTTCCTACTTTCTTTTTACTTATAGATTTAGAGTTGGAAGGGCCATTCAGAGGTCATCTAGTCCAACCCTGTCTCTCTTCATTTTATGGATCAGGAAACCAAGGCTTAGAAAGGAAAGAAATGACTTAGCCCAGGTCACAAAACTTGTAATTAGCCCAAGGGAGATTTGAACCCAGGTACTCTGACACCATAGCTGGTACTCCTGCCTCAACAGTCTCATCTTTTAAATTCACATCCAACATTTATTAACAACCACTAGATACCCATGATTTGGTATGAATTAGGTAACTCCCTTTTAGGGAAGAAACCAAGAACAAAATGTTCTTAAAATGGATGAAATAGGTGGCAGTGGAAATGCAATGTATCAGAGAAGTTGGTATATTAATACAGACAATAGCTTCTTGCTGCATCTGAAACTTAGCCAACAATGAATAAGAACATATATGCAGAGAAATATATTTGGTGCTGGAGGGAATACAAAGTTTAAATAGGGTTTGATCCTTGCCCTAATAGAGCTTTCAAACTAGCAGAAGAAGAAGACAAAAATCTGACAACTATAAAATAGAACATTGTGTAAGTGTGTTATAGAAGGGGCAGTCGATAGTCACAATAGATAGATAGAGCACCTGGCTTAGAGTCAGGAAGACCTGAGTTCAAACCCTGCATGAGGCATTGGTTGTATGATCCTTGGTAAGTCTCTGCTTATTTGTGAATCAGTTTCCCAATCTGTAAAGTGAAGAGGCTGATTTCAATGTTCTCTAAGATTCTTCTAATTCTAATCTACAGTCCCATGAAAACAAAGCATTATCTTCTCATACTTATCATCTAGGTCAAAGAGGGAAGGTTGCTACCTATAAGGAAGACTCCATGAATCTTGGATAAAATATATCCCAGTGTTTCTGGTTTAAATTGTTTGCTTGTATTGCATGGCCCAGTCTTCTACACTAAATAGTCTCAGTAAATTACTGACAATCAAGATAGTTGACAAATCAAGTACTCTGATCAGAGGAGCCATGTTATCTAGCCCCACTCTACTGCTCGGCAAGCCTGCAACCTTGTTATTTGAGAATAGCAGGCAAAAGAATAAAAGCCTCAGTACTGATGTCTTGTCCATTGGTGGAAGGGAGTACCTGGGGGTTCCCCCCCCAATATGTTCACAGTTTGGTCTGGTTACTAGCTAAATCTGTTTACCTTCATTGGATCCCACATCTGGATCATAGGAGCATAGGGAAGTGACCTTGAGGAGTAATTTTGTGGTAGCCCATAAATAAATTGACATGAAAAGCAATGAAGCATTGAGAAAAAACACAGAGTAATCAAGTTAAAGTTCTGGCTAAACCACTAATTAACTGTGTATCCTTAAACTTGCTGGGCCTCAATTTATTCATTTATAAAATGAGGAAGATTCAGATCATACTCTAAGATTCTGTGAAATAGATGGAATATATTTATTTGAAATATATTTATTTCATTTTTTTCTGAAGACTATTTATTCCTCCAACCCTATGTCTCAGCCACTCAACTATCCAAATTATATTCTTTCAGGCCCAGATGTTCTAACCTTAGTGGTAGGATCAGACATCAGTCGCTGTCCCAACACCCCCTGGCCTACCTGTCGTGGCTACCTACACAAAAGGACTCACTCAGGGTTCCTGAAGGGTTGGAGGAAGAGGTGGTTTGTACTGAAGCATGATGGTTATCTTCTCTACTACAAACAGAAAAAGGTAAGGTGAATAGTGAACGGGTCAGAAGAGGAAGGCAAAGGGAGGTATATGGAATCAAAATGCTACTTTGCAAGGTGACATTAGGTGGGACACAAGCTGTGGTCCTTCAAGAATAGTCTTACTAGAGCCAACATGGCATAGGGGATACCTTATTGGATATGTAGCTGGGAAGATCTGGGTTAAAATTCTACTTCTGATACTAGCTATGTGACCTTGGAAAAATCACTCAACTCTGCATATGGCTTTTGACTTCATCACTCACCTGGCACTTCTCTCTCCAAAGTTACCTCTTAATAAGTATTAATTGTCAAATCTGGTCATCTTTTTTTTTTTCAGTTCTCATCCTTCTTGATCTTTCTGCTGCATCTGACTCTATTGATCACCACTTCTTCCCAAATACTCTCTCCCCCCCTGGATTTTTCTAGCTCAACTCTCTCCTGGTTCTTCTCCTACCTGTCTGACCACTCTCATCTTCTGTCCAACTTCCTAACTGTAGTAGGTGTTTCCCAGGGCTCTGTCCTAGGCTCGCTCTCTCTCTCTCTCTCTCTCTCTCTCTCTCTCTCTCTCTCTCTCTATTTCTCTCTCTCTCTGTGTGTCTCTGTCTCTGTCTCTCTCTCTCCTGTGTGTGGCTTCATCAACTCTCGTGGATTTAATTATCATGTCTATGCAGACAGTTCCCAGACTTATAAATCCAACCCCAGTCTCTCCCCTGAGCTTCAGTCCCAGACCTCTAATTGCCTATTAGACATTTTGAACTGGATGTCCAAAGGCATCTTACTGTGAACAAGGCCTAAAATTCAAGCTCAAAGTTAAAGTGCAGTAAGGAGCTGTGGATCATAAAATGCAATTAAAACTATTATACCCATTATGCATTAGAAGAACAGATTCCAAAGTCAAAATAATATAAAATATCCTCCCTCTTTAGTCACCAAGTCAGGATCTCAGGAAATTAACTTCCAGGTAGTTGGAACTGAGAGATTACCTTATTCAACTTCCCCCAAGGCTAAGCTTTTTATACCTCAAGCCCAGAACCTGATCATCATCCCTACCTTTTTAAAGAACCAGACTAGTACTTCCCCCTGGAGCCATAGCCTACTGTGTAAAGATTTATGTAAGGCTGCTGCAGAAAGGAGAGTAAAGTCCTAGGAGAAAGGAGAAAGGAGAAAGGAAGAGGGAGAAAGTAGGAAGAACCTTTTCTTCATATTCCCATTGCTTACCACAATGCCTGGCAAATAGTAAGTGCTTAATAAATGCTTACTGATGATAATGATAATAAAGCTCTCACCTAAGCCTCTGGAGTCATGGAGATGGAACCCCACCCTCAACAGGATATATACATTTCAAACTCAACATATCCAAACCAGAACTCACTACCTGTCTTCCCAAACCCATCCCTTCACAAACTCCCCTGTTTCTATTCAAAGGACTACCATTCTTATAGTGTCCCAAGGATCATAATCTTGGTGTTATACTTCCTCTCTCCTACCATACAAGTACAATGTTGACAAATCTTACCATTTCAACTTCTACACCTCTTGCATTTGATTCCTTCTCTCAACTCATCACTCACACAGTACCTGAATTATTAAAAAAGATCTCTTACTCCCTGCTTCCAGTCACCTCACTCACTTCAATCCTCCACATAGCTTTCAAAGTTACTTTCCTTAGATGTAAATCTGACCATGCCATTCCCAGTGATGAATGCCAGTGATTTCTTCTTTCCTTGAGGATTATACATAAACTCCTCTGTTTAACTTTTAAAACACTTCACAACTTTACCCCAGCACTTCACAACCCATCTTTCTAGCTTTATTCCCCTTCCCTCACTCTACAATCCAGCCAAATTGGCATTTTTTTTTTCTGTTCCATACACAGTGCACTCCATTGTCACTCTTCATGCCTGTGCATTGAGCAGCCCCCAGGCGTGGAATGTATTTCCTCTCATCTCCACCTCTTGGAGTTCGTCTCTTCCTTTAAGACACAGCTCAAGCACCCCTTCTACACAAGCACCCCAATTGCTAGTGTCCTCCCTTCTTCCCTATTTTGTATTTAACTAACTTGTATTTATTCTATATTTACTTCTATAAATGCCTGTGTATGCCCCTACTGTCTCCCCTATTAGAATGGAAGTTCCTTGAGAACAGGGATTATTTCATTTTTTGTATTCTCAATCATACAGTGAACCAGTATACAGCATTGGGTTCAGTGTAGGCATTTAACAACTTTTTGTTGCTTCATTGATTATTGACAGTGTAGAGAACAAAAAGTAAATCATGAGGGAGACAAATGGTATCATACTACTACCTACTTAATTAGATTGTTTCACTCTGTAAACCTTAAATTGCTTTATAAATGTGAATCATCATTATCATCCCAACCATGACTGATTATTCCATGGCTGTCTCATGTGTATAAATATTGTGAATCTTGGTGACTAAAAGAAAAAGCAATTTCAAAAAAAAAACTTTAATCCTGCAAAAATAAAGACAGTGGTTAAAAATTGTAGAATGACAAGGAAATATATGCATCCCACAGTGCACCTCAGGTGATTCATTGTTCAGTGAGGTAGGCAGTGCTCAGAAGTCAGATATTGGTGTATTTTTTATCGAATAAAAGGGAATTTACTTGACTATAGTAGGAGAATGATATTGCACAAGGCTTGTGCACTGAAGACACTCTAAGTTGACTCAACTGAGCAAAGCTTCCCTTTCTCTAAGATGTCTGTCTTGATCTGCTGGTAAAGCAGAGGAGCATCTCTGAAGCTCCTTATGGCCATTTTGTACTCAGGTGACCAGGAAGTGATGTCAACAGTCTGAGCCTTTAGTGCTCTTAGCCAATTAAGGCTAGAATTGTTTTAATATCTTTTAAGTGTTAAGAATTATTTTAGTATTTTTTTAAGTGTAGCAATTAGTTCTAACCTCACTCTTCTAGGACAAAGATAATTATATCTCCACGCCAATACTCCTGAGCGGGTGGGATTATCTTTACTTCTATCAGCTTGACCTTCCATTCCAGGGTGCTCCCCTGTCCACTGTTAGCACCCTAGTCCCACTTAATCTGTTAACATCAATTTACTTCAAAGATGTGACAAGAACAGAAGTAGAAACATCCCTCCTCCCCCACCTCAGTTCCAACCCTTTGGAGGTCTGTCCTCTATTATATCATCTTGGTCTCTGGGGAGAGTGGGCTCAAACATAATGCAGTTTTTACATAGCATCGGTCCCACTAAATCTAGAGCCAAATGTAGCATTGCTATAGGTGGAATCTTCATCTTAGCTAGGGCTAAAGTCCTACTGGGCTAGGTCCCAATGACTACTCCCTGCTCCTTGGACCTCAAAGCTGGTCTAACTGGTTAAAAACCTTGATATACATACTGCTCCCGGACCTCTTGATGGCTATTATTATGACTTTGGTTTTTTTTTTGTTGAAACTCACAAGATCACAGCCTCAAATCTCCTTTACCTAGAACAAAAGAACAACTATCAAGGCAAAGAAGTGAGGCCCATATTCATAGGTCACATGTCCACTTCAGATAGGGAGGTTCAAGGCCTCTCTTTCTACAGCATTGTCTCTCTTTTCTCTCTGGAATGTTGTCATGAAGGAAGGAATCATCTAAAAGAGAAGAAAGAAGTCCTGATTGACCAGTACCTTTTGAATGTACCCCCAGTTCTGGCTATGCAGCCAATCAAAGAGACTTCGTTATGTGGTTAGCAGACCAGAACCAATTGTGGAATACACACACACACACACACACACACACACACACACACACAGAGATATATATATATATATATATATATATATATATACACATATATATGTATATATGCATGTTCCAACATAGAGACTGGGTTTACTGGCTAGTTCCCAATCATGTAAAAAAAAACATAAAAACTAGCCTAGTACATATGGAGAGGAGTTAGGGAGTGCGGTCCCATCAAAAATATCCTGAATGCTTTCTGTGCCCCCAAGTTGTCCATAATGCTTCTAAGAGTACTTGAGTACAGGGACTTCAGGATACTGCATTTTCATGGCAAATATGAGGTCAAAAGCAGGTCTGTTGAGGGTATCTATTAGCATCCTATACTTATTAACATCAGTCTCCTTTCACTTTACTTCTGGATCAGAACTCAGTGCCCTCTCCTAAAAGAACCACAGCTTTCCATACTGAATCCCCAATAATAACAATAGGTAGAAGTCTACCATACATGATCAAAGTGCTGGAAAAGGAAGGAATTTCACAGACCATCTTTTTTATGATGAGGAAATTGAAGCCTATGGATAAATGACTTGTCCAAGGTCACATAAGTAGTTGGCATGGAGGCAGAATCTGAACCCAGATCATTTGACTCTAAAAGTCAGTGTTCTTTCTTTTGTACCACACTATCTCTATTGCCATAGAATAACTTGATGAGGAAGGTATGAACTGACTATCGGTGATTGACGTTGTCCCTGGAGCATACACTGCTGAAGATAATGTTGCCATTGAATCATTAACTGCGAGGGTGACATTGTGCATCCCCACCCTTCATATCATTCTCAGTAAATCTTTAACAAAGAAGGCTTTATACTTTCTCACTATTTCCTAGTCAACAGTCTAGGATTTAATAACTAGTGCCCACATAGACTCATTAACAGTTATTTCTTTGGGGATGCTGGAATGCCCTGATGTGCAAGTCAGTTTGCATAATGCATCTATTACTTTTTTCTTTATTACTGTATTTTTTATCCTATACTTTACACTCCCCCAGCATGTCCACAGCATGGTATAGAGTTCATCACCCCTCAAACACGCAGTCTTCAATGATGGTCAAACCCCATTAATGAACACCGGTTCTCCAATAAATGGAAAGCTATGTTGATTATCTAGCCCAGTACTCAAATATAAAGTACACTTGTTTCAAAAGTCTTAGTTCAGCAGTATGCAACAAAACTGTAATGCCACTTGACATACAACTGCATAATGGCTATTTTAAAGCAATTGGCCTGACTAGTAACAA